CCATGCTTACCCAGTATCACCTCACCTTTACATAACTAATTATGGCATAATTAATTACAAAAAAGCTATTTCCAAACAAGGTCACATTCTAAGGTTCCAGGTGGTCATGAATTTTGAGGGGACACTAGTCAGCCCAGTATACTGGGCAACAACTGCCAGATCACACAAGGCCTTGTAACCCATGACATGGAATTTTCATTTTTTTTCCTAAAGGCAATGTTAAATCTTGAGAAGGTTTTCAGCAGAAGAAAAGGCATAACCTAATTTCTACATTTGTAAAATCATTCTGACTGGTAAGAAGAGTTTTAGGCAGAAAAGAAAAGGAGTACAGAAGCGAATTAGTGGACTATTCCAGTAATCAAGGTGAGATAGGGGCTTGAGCGAGTACGCTGGCATTTATAAATGAGGGATGAGGACTCTTCCGGGAATGATCTGAGAGATGTAAACATGTGTTGCTGATGGATTTGATACAGGAGTGAGTGATAGGGAGGGACCCCAGATTTCTGCTCTGAGTCACTGGGTGGAAGGTAGCACCATTGATGGCAACAGGGAAGATGGCCAACCAGGGTGGGGATGGACAGGAATCAGAGGTTCCATGTTGGACATATTACATTTGAATTGCACATTATAATTCCAAGCAGAGATAACATAAGGTACTTGGAGCCAGGAGAGAGGTCAGGACTTGAAAGATAAATTAGGCCGTTACCAGCAAGTTGAGGGTAATTAAAGCCATGCTGGATAAGGTCATCTGGAGTTTGAGAGAAGAGAGGAGAGGCCTGAATGAATGCTGGGACGCATTCATGCTTGGAGGCTTGTTAGAGGGGGAGGAAGAGCCGGCAAGACACCTGGGGTGGGGGGGCCCAGAGGCAGGGGACACAGAGGCAGGGGGCACTCCAGGAAGGCACGGATCCTAATTCCCACTGTTCTTATGTCTCCACGGTAATGTGGACGTTGCACATGAAGACGACATGATTTGTTCGGAATATCAAATTCTGTTCTCCCTGTGGGAGGAAAATACACCACACAATGTTGACATGAGGTGTGGTCATGTGACCAGCTGCGGCCAATGGTCTGTGAGCAGAGACAATGCATTTTACACGGAACCAGCAGCTCTCAGAGGCGTCGTTGTCCTGCCATTGTGCTTCCTTCGGCGTCAGCAACGGGCATCCCCGAAATGGTTTGCTCCTTCAGCACACGCCCTAGGTGAAGCTTGGCAGGAAGAGGAACTCTATCCCCAGCATGCCATGTGAGCAAGAATAAGCCTTTGTTTCTGCTGCAGAGACCTGGGGATTGCCCAGCAAGCACAGTGTGGCCCTGAAGAAGTCAAGGAAACCATCACCTGCTTCTGAGGACAGGTATAAAGAGCGCGGCTCTGGAACCCCCTGTACTGCGGAAGGACAGAAGCCTTCACATCAGATTTATCTAAGATCAGACCCCAAATCTGCCACTTACTTCAACAAATTAACCGATGTCTCTAGGCTTCAACCTTCCCTTGTGGAAGAAGGGCCCCTATTCTAGTGTTGTTAGGATTAAATGTGATAATATTCACAGAGCACTGGGTACAGGTCCAGCCTCCCTCCCCACAAAAATTTTTCCAAAATATGTATTCATATCTTCCTTCTTCCTTTCATTATTTCTTAAGTTTAGAGTGCAAGACACTATCCAGTTGTTCAAATCATCACTGTATCATTTTTAAAGGGAGGGAATGAACAAAAGCCCCTGCTTGTCAGCTGGCTCTGAGGGGCAGCAGGGGCCTGACTAACAGAGGCCACAGCATGCAGGAGCAGCCTCCATTCACACAGTGGTCAGCCCCAGGGGAGGCAGCTCAGAAAACAACTCATGATGGAGGTCAGCTCAGGGAGTCTGGGAGGGCAGTGCAGTCCCTGGGACAGCAGTGTGGTAGGACCTCTAATTCTGGGCTCCGCTGGGGCCAAAGAACATAGGAGCTTTCCATGGTTGAAGCAGTGGAAACAAAGATGAGGCCAGAGAATCAGGAACTTACATCCACATGAGAATTAACATCTCACCTAACCCACATTATCCTTTTGAAATAGGTACACTCATGCCCATTTTACCAACGAGGAAATTGAGGCTGAGAGATTAGGTAACAGACCAGGAAATTGCACATAATTGCATATGTCCCCCCACAAAGTTCATATTCTTTCCACTACACACACTGCTTCTCCAAAAGAAAAGAAAGAAAAGAGAAGAGAAGAAAAGGAAAGAAAAGAGAAAAGAAATAAAAGAAAAGGAAAGAAAGGAAAAGAAAAGAAAAGAAAAAAGAAAAGAGAAAAGAAATGAAAGAAAAGGCAGCAGAGATCTAGTCTTGGGACTTTAGCCCATGAAAGAAATGAAAAGGGGAGAGAAAAATTGAAAACATGTTCATACAAATAATTGTGCAAAAATGCTTTTAGCAGCATTACTCCATAGCCAAAAAGTGAAAATAACTCAGATGTTCATCAGTGGATGAAGGGATAAACAAATTGTGGTATATATGTACGATGGACCTTTACTCAGCTTTAAAAAGGAAGGGAATTCTGACCCATACTGCCACATAGATGATCTTTGAAAACATGATGCCACTAATAGAAGTCAAATACAAAGGCCATTGATATGTAATGCCAGAACAGGCAAATCCAGAGAGACTTACATGGATAGGCCCACGGCTGCTGGGGAAGGGATGGGAGTCAGGTGCGGTGGGCAGGGGTTGGCTCCGAGGTGATGGAAATGCTCTGACTCTGGTGATGGTGGTACCACCTGATGCACGCACTACAGACTACTGAACTGTGCCCTTGCGAATCATTAACTCTACGGTACAGAAACTCTATCTCAATAAAAAGGGAAGGGGAGCCGTAAATGGGGAGTGTGTTCCTGGTGGCACGTGTGCTACTCCTTGCAAACCATTGACTCAGCTCCCAGTTTGCACATGATCTCAAGCCTGAGCCTCAGGGTGTTGGCCAAGGCTGAAGGAGGGCTCTCATTTAAGCCCGCTCCCGGTTCTGGGGCAGAGCCCTGCGCTGGCAGCTGACAGCGGCCCCCAAGCAGAGCAAGGGCAGGCACATGGAGATGCCATGAGGACTCAGAGCCCAGGACACAGGTCCCTTCCCAGGAGCTTCCAGGTGCCCTGGGAGTGCCCATCAACACTCCACCCTGGGAGTTATGTCAGGACCTTGTTCTATCTTAAGACTACCCCCAAGGGAAGGATAATATTAAGTTTGGGAAAGCAAGGCAGGATGTAGCCTCTTCAAACAGGGGGCACAGAAATCTCACCGCAGCAGGCACCCCTTGCACCCCATGGCCTCTCCGGGCTGTGACGCAAGTGCTGCTGCTTTATAAGGACATCAACTGAAGGGTTAGGTGGCTCTCTGCAAAACAAGTTCCCCAGAGAGAAGAACTGGAGCAACGCAAAAGCCACCCTGACACCAGGCCCCCTTCCCAGACCCGGAAGTCACACCTTCAAATGCTGGAAGCACAGTCATCCTCTCTGACTGCCGGGAGGGAATCTCTCAGTCCAAGAGGAATGAGAATGAATGAGAAGCGGCCCTGGGCTGGGGGGTGGTAATTGCTGAGGAAGCGCTAGCCAGGGGGAGCCTGGGACCTGCTCTCCAGGCAAGGCTCCCTCTTGCCTCATCGCCCATGAGCCTCTGCGCTGGGAGATCCTGGGATGAAAATTGGAAATGCTGAACGCTCACACGCCCTTTCATTCTGAGGCCGCTCACTGGGCGCCCTGGCGGGGCAGGAGGGTGCCCTTTGCTCTCTTCCTCCTCATCAGCTCCGCCTGCATGTTCTCTGGGTGCTCACAGGAGGGCAGATGGGGACTGGCAACTATTTTGCTGTTTCAACCTTAAGTAAGGAAATCAGGTGGCAATGGGCAGTGGGCACACAGGAGGAAGCTTGTATTTCCTCTTGGCCACCACTTACCACAAAAACAATGAGGATTCCATGCCACCTCCATGCATCACCAGTGAATTCCATTATCACGGTGCAGAATTTTGTAAAAACTTTGCATTCTCATGATTTCAATAATTTTGGGATTCCTTACTAAACGTTTATCATCCTAGTTATACCTAAACAGACATTACAGCTTTAAATATAACTTCTTAAAGCTTAGGGAATTTTTTTAATCCCTGTGAAAAATTGCTACTGCAATTTCCCCCTTAGGAATACCACCAGCCACTAATACCGCCTGAATCTTCACAAAAATTAAGGACCCAAAGATGAGAGAAATTTTCTTTAAATTTGTTCCTCTCTCTTTTCTTTAAAAAAGAAAAAAATCAGCTTTAACCGAGATTGCCACAACGGTCATGTCTGGACGATGCATTCTTTCTGTCGGTGACACGTTATCGTGTCGATTTTACAGTGCATTAAAATGCACCCACAGTGCCGAAGGGGGAAAAAGTAAATATGGCATTTGTCTTGAACTCATAAAAGGGGTCATATAAAAGAGGAATTTAACAAAAGTCATTACCACCTAAAAGCAGTGCCAAAATTTAATTATACATGTTCAACCCTCAAAGTAAATGCTCTAACATCTAAACCCACTGAGAAGCTGCCCGGCTTTACTACTGCCATACCTACAGTACCTTTTTTTTTTTTAAGCAGCCTCATTTAGTTCTTGAATGCATGACCACCTAGCACTGCAGGTTAGAGAACAATTTTCTTGTGCTAAAACAGTCTCCATTTCTCAAAGGCCCATGGCAATCCAGCGCCGTGACCCTCTGGTGCAAACAGGCCCCTTCCCCTTGCAGAGGGACAGTCAGGAGGATGCTGCTGGCTCAATGACAGCGACATCCAGGGCTTTATGCTCAGCCATCCGGTTGTCCTTGGTCCCTTTGTGCCATGGCAATTTTTCAGAAGGGAAATTAGTCTCCTTGCCAACTCTTGTATTTTGTATAAGCCCAGATGTCACACTCTGCTAATGTCATACTAGACTGTAATATTTTTACAACATAGTGCAGACAACCAAAGCAGAGCCAAACAGACACATTGTTGCCAGATGGTTGACCTTTATTTACTGATAAAAGTTCTTTAAACCATAAAACTTGAACTTATTAGAAATGAGCTGAGTTTTGAAGTTTCCAAGTGAGCCCAATACCCTCTCCCTTTGACAGCAGGAGGGAAGATTAGCTCATAGCAACCCAGGGGATGTATAAATCCGGAAGTCTTCACGGCGCACAGAGGGGTGGGCAGTGGGCGCTGGGGGTGTTGCTCCGGAGTTGTCTCATGCAATGAACTATGGTACAACCTCTGCAGGCCTGTGCGTTTAGGCACCCAGCCACCTGCCTGCAAACAAGAGAGGCTGCTTATTGTCAGTCAATGGCCCATGTCTCTGGCCTGAAAAGGAGGAGGAGAGAGTATGTGGTCCCCTAGCAATGGCTCTGGCTTTCTCCCCAAAGCCATTCCCATGCAGCAAGGAATTCATAATTAAACCGAATCATGTTTTATTTGCTTCAAAGAGAAGGCAATTATCCCTCCTCCCTATTCCCTTGGAGACTGATTTTCCTTGGAAATGTTTTCCGTCCTGACTTATGTAGTATTTTTTTCTTTGTGACTGGCTCTAAATGTGGCTAAGATTTTAATGGGTCATTTTCTCACTCTAATTTTTTCTTCCCCAAATAACTTATTCTCCCAAACAAATATTGAGCTCTCAATGCTCCATGTATTATGTTTTCCTTGAAAACAGAAATCTGCCTGTCATCAGTAGCCCAGTTACTATTTGAATAACAATAAATGGCTTCACCACTATACTTATTTCCTATTATGACCTCCCAGAAGTTACTTTCAAATTTGTTACTTTTATATTTGTTAATAATTTGCTGCCTTGCTCAGCTGAACTATATCACCTTTTTATTTTACTTATTTTCGGTTAAACAATAATCACATTTTCCCACAACTCATAGATTTATCAGGCAACCCAACTATTTATCAAGTCAAATTATGATACTGTCAAAAATCAAATATTCTGCCCTGTACAAAGATTTCCTGATTCAGATATAATAAGAAATCTAACCACCACCACCTGTTTTACCCCCTAGTTTCCCTTTTAAAAGTTAGGGTCTTAGAAACTCAGACTTAATTATTGGTTGAGGCTTCCCAATCCAAAATGACCATCCCAGCTAGCGAGCTTGAGGTCCCCCCATTCAGGATAAATATCTAAGTAGTTAAGTATGTGTCTCAAGATTTTTAAGGCAAAAACATCACTGGGAGGGTTCATACATTTGAACTTAAAGTCACAGAACTTGGGCTCAATCCAAGCCCCGCCTCTGTCTGCACGCAATTCATGTTAGACATCCCGGGTCAAGGCTCCACACCTGTACAGGGGTGGCAGCCACCACCTGCAATGGCCCGAATTCTTGCAAATGCCAAAGTACATATGGAAATGACTGTAAACTTCACAACCTAAAATATACTATCGGCTCAATATGCACGGTTCTTCTCTTACCGGTTAATCCCCTTGAAGAAGAGAGCACAGGTAACAGGACACAACTCAGGCAGGGTGAGCTAGAGCAGAAAGAGAGGGGGGAGGCGACCGCACTGCAGAGAAGGATGCAGCCCCGAGGTCACCCACGAGGGAGTGCGAGCAGCTCGGGACAGCGGGGCAGTGCAGCGGAACTCCCGAGGCAAGGTGGGCCACAAAAAAAAAGGGAGGTGTGGCCACCCAGGCTCTTGTCTGGGCAAGTTTTGTCCATTTGGCCCCCTCGTGCTTCTTTCTGCATCTCCACCAAATGGCAGCGGGCTTCCACGTGTGCACAGGACAAGGCCTATACGTCCTCTGCACATTCTTCTCCCATGATGTGCACTGCAGTCAGGGTCAGGGAAATGTGCTCAGTGTGCCTTGAATAACGTGAGCGCAGTTGTTATTGAGGAGCACACGACCGAGAGCAAAGGAAATCTGAATTTAAGACACAGGTAAAGGCAAAAGTGGTTACATCCCTGCCCATGTACCTCGTCAGTCAAGATAGAAAGAGGAAAAAAAGATGAGGAAACGATACGTCCTGCACTGGGGCGTGCCACACAGAGCTTCCCTCTCCCTCCTGTCACTACTTCCCACGATGACACTGAAGGAGGAGCTACCAGCCTCCCCCCAGGGGAACTTTCTGAGCAGTGACCACGTGCCAGACAGGACCTGGGTAGGAACAGCGGCTAAAGCGAGGCCCCCAGAGCACAGGATACACACCATCATCCTGCCCAGACTGACCTAGGCTTCCTCAGATAACCGTTTTTTGTGTGTAACTGGAAACACCTGTTTAAATCACATATATTTGAAAAAAACAAGAAATCCTGGAACTAATCGATTTAGCAAATTCCTTCCATCAAAAGCTCACCTGTTTTCTCCAATCAAGCATCCTGGAAAGTCAGCCGAGCAGATAGCCCCTTATAAAAGGCCATACCAGTCTATCCTAGTGAATTCTTCCAAACAGTGCTTTCTGGGAGATGAAGAAACAGCCCCCTGGATGCCTGGTGCGGCTCAGGTTCATCTGCAGCTGCTTCTCCCATCACCATCATCGCTAAAGCAGGCCTTCCTCATTTGTTTTTTAATCTGTTATTCAGGTAATTTCTCTTCCCCTGGTGAGCTCTAGTTCCAAGGCCTGATTCCATTTCTAAATCGCTGTTTGTATCCCTTACTGCCTTCTTTCTATTTTTTTCAAATATTTCTCCCACCAAAATATTCTCACCGCTTAATCACCCACCCAGGTCTTGGGTTTCTTTACCCTTCTCTAAATTTCCTCCTTCCCAAAGCAAACTGCTCCTCTAAGAAGCTAATTCCCATGCCACAATAGCAACAACTTTTTTTTTTCCTGGTGGGGAATAATTTTTCCCCAATTCACTTGGCTATATATTTTCTCCTACAAGTGAATTCTCATGGCACATGGTATGGATATTCTCTCTTCCTTTCTACAGAAAGACTCCAAATACTTTGTTCCATGTGTAATTTTTATTTTGGAAGCCCTACTGGGGCCCGCTTTTCCTGTGATGCAGTGAAGTCCCCTCAGAGCATTCATCTCATAGTGCCCGGGAATGGAGATAAAGCTCACACACGGTTCCTCGTGCGCATGTGTGGGGCACAGCACAGACCTCACAAGCCTCTCTATCTGCCTATTTCTTTTCATGATAATCTTTAAGAGGAAATTGGGCGGGAAGTTGCAGGTTCTAGTCCTGACTGCCCAGAGATGCCCAAGGCCTCTTCATTATGGTGGGATGGAAACACAAGGTGGAAAAAAATGCACAGTAATGTGACTTTTCTTTCTCTCGCAGCCCAAAGAAGCCAACGCGAAGCCTGACTTCTCAAGTTACCCCTTGACAACCCACACAGACATCGTTCTGGTGTGGAAGCAGTCCTGTGTGCAGCAAACGTCTACCATTCAGAGAACTGATCCAAGCCATGAGCCCTCGGGCTCTGCTTTGTGTGCTTTCTCTAATTCACCCTTTTCTGTGGTTCCCACACAAGTCACACAGGTTGTTTTCAATTCCTGTTTCCTGAAACACAGAGTTCTTTGCATTATCCCTTTGGTGTTTCCTCCATCTTCTTAATCACTGGGTCCCGGAATAAGGGAAAAGGCATCTCCCTCCTTATTCAACTTCTTCAATTCTGGACCTGGGCTTTCTTTGGCCAACCACATATTTTCAACAAGTTATATAATCACGATGAATTTCTGATTTTACCTCTGCTTATTTCACATGCTTAGTTTTTATTTTTCATTAGCTTTAAAGATTCTTCTTTATTCCCCCTTTCCACAGTCTGTCTTGGGTTATTTACTTACGCTCAACTCTTGCAGGCAAAGAGGAGGAGATAAGATACCAACACACAGAATTAAACATGGCAGGCCCTGTTTTGTATAATATCAAGATGAGACACTCTAGAAAATGAAGAAGAGAGGAGCTTCCCTACAGGACAGTGGAGAAGCGGTCAGGAAACTGGTGTGGGTATGGACAGGCATGCAAGGGGAGGCGTGTCTAAAAACATCAACAGGATTGATCCATCCGTGTTCAAGATTTAATCAACACATTGACGGGGAGGAGTTTATGTGGAGGACTCCTAAGAAATGTAGTAGGAAAGACAAATTTAGTCCTGTGATGAGCCGATTGGTGTATTTAGGACTTTAGTGGCATTAGAGAGACTTGGAGAATTTTTAGGAAAACATGATAGAATCAAAGCAGTATTTAGCATGTAAATCAGAGATGCCAGTGAGCAGAATCTACAGGAAAAGCAGGCATCTACTGTAAACGTTGCGTATAAGGGTATCAGGGACAGATTTGGAGTGGCCATGTGAGGACACTGATGTAAATTCTATTAAATGGTCAAAACCTGCCTACTGGATAGTTAGCTGTGAGCAAGGAATAACTGCCCAGATATTCACTCTTTTCTATTTTTAATTTGCTTTCCACCTATTCAGACTTGGAAAGTACCTGTAGCTAATCTTTATTAAATGATCACCACAAACCAGGAACAATGCTAAGGACTTCATACATTTAACTAATTGACTCCTCATAACAAACCATTTAAAGAGGAGGACACTGAGACCCAGAGAGGTCAGCTGACTTGCCGGAGTGACACTGCCAGTGTCCCCCGGGCAGTCGAGTTTCCGAGTCTGTGTTCTTACACTGCGCAACTTCGCAGAGCCTGGTGCCCATACAAACTCTGGATTCAAACATGCTAGGTTAACATCCACGTCCTCTTTGCTGTCCTTCTAATAGGATGAAGTTGGTTGGCTTTGCTAAGCCTCAGCTTCTATCTATAAAACAAGAGGATAATAATAGATCTACCTTATAGGGTTATTGCAAAGATGAAATAATTCCTTTAAAGATGAAATATTCCTTCTAAAACACTTTGCAGGCCTCCGGCAAACTTCTATACTAATAATGGGCATTTAGTTATTTCCCATTTTTGAGTATAAAAGTTCTGGACAAATCCATTTTGATGTGAGTCCCTCCATACTGCCCTCTTCAGGTGAATATCTGAATGTCCCTTAAATTTGATACTGATTATATTAAACATCTCTACCTGGAGAGTCCAAAGTTTACAATTGTAAGTGGCTGTGTCCCCTTGTCCCTACCTTGAGCACTGAGAGAACAGAGAAGGACCCCCTTACCTAAATCATACATGGGTCTGCATTTAAAGCCAAGGCATGGCTTCCCAATAAGTCCTCAGGTGTTCATGGGGAAGTTGTGAAATAAACCCTTTATTCTAGATTCCCTAAGTCAAAACTTTACCTTCATATATCTATCTATATAGATACAGATATATAGATATGTCCCTTGTTTACACCTAAAGATGATCCAGTTTCTTACTCAACTGACATTAGCCTTCTGATGTCTTTTCATTATAGGCATCTGTTGAATTTAACAAGCATTTCATTTGTAAATAATATGTAAACAGCCTTATCATACTGCTCCTTCCTGGCATTTCGGTGGCACTCAGCCAGCAGTTTTTATTTTCTTCTCCAGAAATTTCCTTCATAATTAAATCTAGTTTGGCCACCCCTAAAACTGACATCATATGCTTTCATACTTGGCATCTCTGACTGCTAAGATGTCTCTCTGTCATCGCCATTCGCTTTCTAATCAAGGTTTTCCAGACAAAAATTACTCTACAGACCCTTGTACACCTCTGTTCTAAATCTTCCTAAAGATCCATGTTTGTTGAAAAAATGAAAGTCCTTCTTTAATCCAAGCATACGAATGAGTTATTCATCCTTACTGCCGTGTATTAAACATTTCTTACTTTCCTTATCAAGTCTGCAGGCTCCTTTTTAAAAATCTAAAACAGTTACTACTTTGCTATTTTTTTCAACACTTTATTCTCTTATTCTGCTCTCTGATTTTGATATGAATACTCTTAAGTTTTGATTGTAGTTTCTTTTTCCTTTTCTTTCTCTCAATGCTACTGATCTGGCCTGCCTCAGACTCCACATCTTCCAGCCACTTCTTCTGTAGCAGGAGAATTTACATAATTACGGGAAGACTCCTTACCTCCTGCTTTGCAGCACCGTATGTTAGGCACACAACAGCCATGTCCTCCTTCTGATAATCATTTTAGTCAGAGACAGAACTGCTTCTGAAACTACTTTACAGATAATAAAAGATACAGAAAAGTAAATTAATTTTCCTAAGATTAAAAATTAAATCAAATGTGGAACGTAATTCTCAGAGGCTTAAACAACTGGCTGACTGCTGCTCTGTTACCTTGATCTTGGGTGGGAAGGGGAGCAAACAATCGCTGGGGCTCTGCAATGTCAGATTCCTCCTTCACTTCCCAGTCATCCGGGACCACATATTTCTTCAGTAAGAGTCTAAAATTTTCTTTCAGTGTAACAACTATGAATTTTATTTCAAGTCACAAGAGGAACACTCAAAGCAAGCCCAAGATGATCAGATCTATTCTTAGCCACACCAAGTTCCGGGCCTCGCTGTACTACGAACTTACTGGAAGGCCACAGGAAGTTGTTCAACTCTGATAGGTCTCAATTTCCTAATTCATAAATTAAATGGGCTATGTTTTCCCCAAGGTCTCTTCCAGGTCTAACCATTTTTAATCTATGCTATAAGATAGAAAACAGTCATTGCCAACTTTCTCAGTATTCTAGCTATGTCCCCTGAGATCGCACATGCTGGGAGAATTTCATCAGTGAAATCCTAGGCATAAAAGTGTATAAGTGAAATATGAAAGGCTTATTAAACAAGCCATACCATTTAAACTAGGATATGACAAGTGTGGCTTCTGCTAATAAAGTGACACAGCTTCTTAATCCAGTGAGAATATAACCTGAGACCGGCAATACGGATGCCAGCTATGTTCTATACCCTATCGATACATTTATATGTCACTTTTCAGTTAAAATTACAATTTTTTGACAACCTACATCCTTCTTGCTACAATCAGATGGAAAAATCCAACAGGCTGTTTTTCAGTTTTTTTAGCATTATGAGTTCAAATCATGGTAACTGAATAGTTTAATGTCTCTGCTGAAGAATGGGGCAATCAGGAGATGTGGATTTCTGGAGACAAAAATCAGAATTTTAATCTCCGTGAGCACCTAGTATGACTTGGTCAGTTGAGCCATTGTCAATGCAACAAACGCAAGCTGGTTCCAAGATTTCATTTCTCTAGAAATCCTTTTATGAAAGAGTCATTCAGTGAAGGGAACTTAAAAGAGCAAACACTTCCCACACATCATGTGCTTCTCAGTCACTGGGGGACACATGCAGTACACATTCTGATTCACGGGTTCAGGGCAGGGACTGAGATGAGGATGGCAAACCACCTGGGTCTCCCCACGACGGAAGAATCTCTTGGAACAAGGGACTTTCTGAGCTGAAACTGGGGATGTCCTGGGCAAACTACCATGCCATGTTTGCCCTACTTGAGGTCCTCTGCCTCCATTTAAGCACTAGATGCTAATGCTACTGGTCCTCAAATCAAAGTTTGAGGAGCAAGGGAAGAGAACCACCTTCAGGACATACGTTCTGGGTGGCTGGCTTAACTCCTCTCTCCCTTGTTACCTGTGTGACCTTTGGCAAGTTTCTGAACTTACGAAGCTTCAAACCCTCAACAGAAAATTAGGAGAGTAAGATACACCCACTTCATATGGTGTGAACTTTAGAAAAGAGGAAGAGTATAAAATCCCTGATCAATCAGAAATTCTCAGCAATTGTTAGCTTTTGGTGAAATTATCATCACCTTTCACCTATAAAATATCAGTCACATGAATATCATTATAGTACACAGCTGTAAATGAAACTTGATTAGAAATTAACTTGATACTTGACTAAACTGAAGCAAGATTTCATTTCACTTTTATCAAGGCTTTGAGCAAATACATCTTCAGAAAGTCGACTGCATACAGCAAAATAAATAATACGTGCACAATTTCGTACTTTAAAAACAAAGGAGTGAATGGTGTCAATGCTGTGTCTGCATCAGGCTCAATACGTCGTAATAACTGGCTCACCCTTCAGGACTGAGAATGTTCAAGGAAGGGAAATTCTAACTTAAGCATGTCGATCCCTAAGTAAAATAACTAAAGGAGAATATAATCAAAATCCTATTTAGTCAATGACTAAATCAAACAACACAGTAAACTTCCTCGAAATTCATTTTTCAAAAGCAGTTTTCAGGAGGTGATTCCTCTCTTGGGATATTAAAATCACATGTCACCTAAGGCTGCAAGTGTCTTAATGAAATAAAACAGCATGTTGTTTGGATCTCAGGTGAGAAGGGCCATTTTTTTGAGTAGGAGACAATTGAAGAAAAAGAGGCAGAAGTCAAAGGCCCTGAGAGGTTAAAAAAAAAAAAAGGCTGGGATTGAAAACATGACATGGCAGACACGGCAGAAGGGACTAGGTGAGAGTCAAGATTATATGCTCTGCATTCTAAGCACTTAAAATATGAAAAAGGACCCCAAAACCTCATAAAGAGGATAATTTGAATATGAATCAATATTACTTAATTATATTCATATCATTAGTCATAGTTTTAATTCCTTGTTATACTTCACCATCTATCCAACCTTTAGAAAAGGTTGAATTTAAATAAAGTGGAAGCTAATGATCATTAAAGTAGATTTCTTTTCCAGCTCTACTTCTAGGGATAGTTTTCTACCATATTGCCTAGTATTTGAACTCCATAGTCAGAAGTCTAACTGTGAACATACTGGGCAGGTTTCTGACGATTAAGCCAAGGGATATGCCCTGAGCCCCTGTTTGCCTGGGCTCAGAGGAGCATGGCTGCAATTCATGATTTGGGCATAGCTCACATACAGTCAATCAGCAAGCCAAGTGACTCAGAATAATTTATCTCATTTTAGTGTCACTTACTAGCCTGGGAATATGTGGCTTTTCAGTAATGTTTGAGATATTCTTCTTAAAAAATATTTAATGATGTACTTCAACTTTCATATGATGGAAAAGAAAATTAAGGAAACCAAGACATTTGAAGGCGTGCTGGTGCTAGAACTTAGTCTAACTCCTGGTCTTAGCCCGTGTCTCTGGCACTAATACCGACAGAGGATAAAGATGAAAAACTGCATCATGCTTGAGCATTAGTCACCTACTCTGCCAACTGTCAATGCTTTTAAGAGAAGTAAATGCTTCATCCTTGCCAAGCCTATTGTAGATACTCATTTCATCTATCTCCTGTATTGATTCAGTTTACATTCTCCCCAACTTCTTAAATTCCTATGAACTTTGTTGAGAAATTATGCATTCCAGGAGTACATAGTCCCCCTAAAGGAAACCCCCAGGTTAGGGCACAGGTCAGAGTGGATGCATCACCTCACATGAAGCACCTCCATGAGGCAAGTGTGATACAGCATATATCACGTCCAAGCATCTTTAGTGAGGCCATAAACTGACTACTGATCTGAATATTTAATTTTCTAGGTTCCTATATGTTCAAGATTTTGCAACCTATGGTGTATTTACTCCCTAAGCAACACACTTCCTCAAATAACTAGAGTTAAATTACCTAAGTGTGCTATAATCCCCAGGGAGCCCTGGGCCACCTACAGTAAGAAACCTCCCGGCTTTAGAACTACTTTAAAAAATCCGTAAGGCTTCCAGTTTCATCTGACCTTTATTTGAAAGCCCAGCGTCTTCCCTCCTACTACCCTCTACCCTTGGTAACTGATTTTCAACCTTCTGCCAGGTGCCTAAGTAAAGACAAGTTGCACATGAGCCCAGACAAACCTGTGTGTTCTTTACAGAGGCTTGGGAGGAGGGAACCCTGAGACTCTTATCTGCAGATGTTTTATTTGAACAGATATTATTAATAGAGTTTAATTGTGCTTTCAGATGTAAAACACCCACCAAGGAATAGCTCTAACAGACCTGTAGAAACTCAATAAAATGAATCAATAACACAAGTCCTTGAAGACTATTGCACCTTCTAACATTTTGATCAATATTGACATTTGACCAACAAAATTTGTCATCTACTGATTTTTTGTTAAGAACTTGCTGATGCAAGTACAACTACATATGAGAGAACATATTGAAGACAACTTTATTCCCCAAGTCTCTCGCCAACATTTTTCTGGCAGATCACCATATTTTCACCTTTCTCTTGCTAATGCAGCTCTTGTTGCAAATAGGAAATAATCATCATTTCTTGTGTCAGATCTGCACCCTCCTCTGAATCTCAGATTTCCACATCAGTCAGTCACCTACCAGGTCAGTAGATCAGCTCACTGTGCACAAGGCTTGGTAGGAGAGGTACACCAGCCACAGGACTAAGTCTGAGTTCTCTAAAAAACACAGCATGAGGAGATATAGCCACACCGTTCCACAGATCAAGTCTACAGCAGCCTGAGACCACAGTGACTGACCGGGAGAGTATGACCAGGTCCTGCCGGGCTCTTGGTCCCAGCGGGCCAATCGGATGCTGCAGGGCCTGTCCAGCTCCTGCTGAAATACGCAGGCTTTAAGCATCATTGCTGTGGGTTACTTAGGATGTAAGAGAACACTAAGATTTTATTTTTGAGAAACAGCAAAAATGCCAAAAAGATTAAACCAAACTAAGAGGACAGGGTAAACTAAAAATCTAAGACTTAGGGGGAAGTTTTGCTAGGGAAGAATGAATTGGATAAAATTAATACAATAGTGTGGTCTGGCAGTGCAAACAGTCAAACATGACAAATTCAAGACAAAGCCCCTAACGTATTCAAAAGACAAAGGAGAAAGAGAGGCAATGAGTGGAATTCTGGCTTAAGTGGGTCTTGTACAAGGAAAACAAACTGATATTTAGTGAAGGATTCCTAGGTTTCAAATCTTCACAACCCGCAGGAGAAGCATCCTTAACCCCCCTTCCCACTGGGGAAACCCAGGCCTGGCAGGTACATCAACTCCTTGGGGCCACCCAGCTCCTAACTGAAAAACCTGGGATCCAACCCAGGCTTGCCTCCTTCTAGAGCTTTCACCATTTTCTGCCGTGCTATCTGTTTATGTCTTTTATTTGCCTTACTAGCCAAGTCTCTGAAATATTAAACTTCATGACCTCTTGCCTTTTTATGTCCTTCTCCAACCTGTGCGCTGTCCTATGCTCTGTGTCCCCGGAGAATCGCTGAGCAGGCTCTCGCAACTTCCCTTTTCAAAATCATGCTGCCCCTCTCTTAAGACCGAGCTTACATTCTCCGAGAGACCCCTGGGAGTGGCAGAGTGACAAGCATCCGGGGAGTAAGGCACACACACAAAGGCAGAGGGCTAAGCAAGATTTCTGAGAGAACCATTTGTCATGGCAAAAAGCAAGAGATACAGACAAAAAACAGCAGTACAGTCACCTCTGGGGAAGGGCAGAGAGCTGTCATCGGGGGTGAAAACTTAAGCAGATTCAATGTCATTTTGCATTGTTTTAGGGCCTGAGTTGGTGGAGAGCTGAAAGGCATATAGTCTATTATTAAGCTTCGTAAATAATATATATGTTCCTAAGCTACTTTGTTGCTTCATATATTACATTACAAATAGAAAAAAAGAACGAGCCCCAACCCAGGGCAGCACGGCAGGTGGGCACCTGCCACACAACCGAGGCCCTAAGGAGGCCCTGCCTGTCCCTCCGCCCTCCACTGAAGACGTGCTCTGGAGGTGATCACTGAGCCGAACCCGCAGCCCTCACGGGGAAACAGCGCACATGGAGCGAGGGCTGCAGCGCAACGTCCCGGCAAATGGTGCCACGCCTCTCCTGCCCTCCATCCTCTCACGCTCTGCCCTTCTCCTGGCATGAAAGTGCAATCTTTACAGCCCATCAAGGG